GGAGAGATGGCTCAGTTGGTTAAGAGAGAATAATGCTTTTACAGAGGACCCATGTTAGATTCCCAGAACTCATCTTGCTCACAACTGTCTGTAACTCTAGCTCCAGGGAAGCCAATGCCTCTGGCTGACTCAAGCACCTGTACTACGTGCATACATATGAATACATATAATTTTAAAAAATATTGTTTAAGCTTAAAAATAAAAAATTATTCTCAGGCCATACAAAAACAGGTCACGGTTCAGATTCAGAATTGAAAATCTGTCCTCCCTTTCTTCTTCCCTCCCATTTTTGAGACAGGGTTTCCCTTTGTAGCCCAGGCTGGATTTAAATTCATAGCCTCCTGCCTTAGTCTCCAGAGTACTAAGATTATATGCATGGATGGTGATTCTGTTTTGTAAATTATAATCTGTTTTGAGGACCAATTGGCCCAGATTAAGCCAATATGTTTTGTTTGATTTCTAATAATAGTTTTAAAACTCTGTGTGTGTGTGCATGTGTGTATGAGTGAGTTCACGCATACATGCACTCAGTCGAGATGCTATGGCACACATGTGGAGATCAGAGGATAGCTTTTAGGGGGGTTCAGGGACTGAACTCGGGCTGCCAGGCTTGGCAACAGGGACCTTTACCTACAGAGCCATCCCACCAACCCCAATTTCTAGTAATATTCTCTGCTGAATGTTGTCTTCTAATTTTATTACTTTTTTTTTATAAAATACGATATACATATTATGAAATAGCTAAAATATCAATGATTTTTATATATTTGAATTACAAAAAAGATTGAATTACATGACAATACCAGTTCCCTTCTCCTTCCTAAAATATCAATGTTTTACACCTATCATTTTAATCTTTTATCTGTACTCAGTAAACATTTTATTGTTTTGTAGACACATTGTATATTTTCCTATCTGATAACACAAGCATTTTTATACCATTTAAAAATCTTTCACAAACATAACCTTATAAAACTTTACTTTGAAAATCTTGAACATATATTGAAGCAAAGGGGCTTATCAAATGTCCCCCTTCTTTCATGATAATTCCTTCATTATTTCAAAGGAAATCCCACACTTTATATCTTTTTGTTGTTTTAAAGGTAGGGTCTCTAGCTCTGGCTGTCCTGGAACTCATTATGTAAACCAGGCTGGCTTTGAACTCACAGAGATCCACCTGCCTCTGCTACCTAAGTCCTAGGATTAAAGGTGTGTGCCACTAAGTCTGGTTTTCACACCTCAAATCTTTTTATCTCTGACTCTTGAGTATGATTCTCTAAAAGAGACAAATTCTAAGAGAAAATTTTTTGTTTTAGGAAAGAAATGGTGAATTATGTAGGCCTAAAAGAGAATAATGCTTGAAACTTTCAAGTGGTTCAGGAAGGATGGAGAGAGGGGAAAGGGAGGGGGGAGAAAAAAAGAGGAGGGAGGGAGAAAGGGAAAAGAGAGATGAGGGGGGGGAGGACGGACCTTCCAGCATCCTCGCCACTCTTCTGTAAGCTTGAAATATTTCTTAAAATAACAAAAACAAAAAAGTTTTAAACTGTAGATTACTGGAAATATGTATAGATGCAGGGTCATAACATACTGCCAAATGCTACCACAACTCATAGGCAATACATGAATTTGTCCCATTAGGTCATTAAACAAACAAGCACAATTCCAAGTAAGTTCCACAAAGTTCATCTCACAGTACACTGAATTTCATTTACCCCACACACTTCCCCTCTTTCTCTTTGATCCTTGCTATTGCTATTAAATATATATATATATATATATATATATGTATATATATATATAATATATATAAAAGTCGTGTATTCCTGACACAGAGATGTCCTCTAAATTGGTGGTCTAGGGCTACAGGATTAGTTGGTCAGATTCCAACTCTCCTTTTTCCATTTTTTTTTTTTTTTCTGAGATAGGGTTTCTCTGTGTAACAGTTCTGGCTGTCCTGGAACTCGATTTGTAGATCAGGATGGCCTCAAACTCACAGAGCCTGCCTCTGCCTCCCTTGAGTGCTGGGATTAAAGGCTTATACCACCACCTGGCCTTCCCCGCCTCCTGCTTGTTTTAAGGGGAGGGGTCAACATCTCATCTGTCTTGTGTGAAAATCCTGATTTAGGTTTTCTTTGAACTATCCCATTCCCACTAACAATTAACCTGGGTCTGAGTAGCAAGCACTCAACTCCCAATTCCCACTCTGGGTGGGACAAGAATCCTTCTGTAGGTTAGGGTCACATCACTTAGAATGTACATTCCCAGGCATTTCTCTGCCGGCTACCCAAAGGTATCTATCTGCAAGTTGACACCTCAACTCCAAATGCCTCATCAGAGACTGTGGTCCATGTCCACACAGCCTCACATCCCCAGAGCCCTTCAGGAATGTGGTACAGATCACAGGAAATGACAGGGATGGGGATGGTCTGAAAGGCTTGAAGGAAAAATAGGTAAGCAGCCAGTCAGAAAGGGAGACTGGGGTGATGGCTATAGGAACAAACTTTTTAAAAAAGGAAGACTGAGTTAGAATTGAGGACTGTCGTGATGAGGGGTGATGTTGGCTATAAATTGGCATAGTTGAGAGAGCTGTCTTGTGGAAGATAATGGTTTAAAGAGGCAAGGTTTTAGTCTTTTTAGTTACTGTCTTGAAGCCCTATAAAGAAAAGGGGGCAGTCAGTGTTAAACTGCCCCCATAGTCTTAATCAGAAAGCACATGCAGTAAAACAAAACTCGTGTGGGTGTTAAGCAAAAGATAGCGCCCTGGACAAGGCATAGGAGCTGTGCAGCAAAGATGAGCAGAAAGAAGTTTTAAGAGGAAGAAACGTAGAGTATTGGATTCCTCTTTTTTTAACCTTTTTAAATGCATTAAAATGGAAATTATTACAAAGAAAACACCACATGTAGTTATTTTAGAAAATGAAATTTCTGTAAAGAAAACCTTTACAGAAAAGTATATAATTATGATAAGGTGGGATGTTTCTGGAAATTTCCAGATAGTTCCCCATACTCAGGAGGATGATTGGGACAGCCTGGTTATGAGAGAGGATGGAAAATTTTGAAGGACTAGCTGATTACGTAACTTTTAGGCTATTGCTGTGATAGCTTAGTTATTAATAACAATTTGAGGAAATCTGCTTCTGGAAAACATTTGGCTCCAATAAGGAAGACACGCAACTGTTTGTAAATGCCCTGGTATTGGTGAGGAGCCATTCACTCACAAGTTAAAACACTTAAGAAAGCCAGAGCTGAATTTTACTAGTAACAAGCTGTTGATAGCACCTGATCTAGACACCTCCCGGAACACATTAGCAGGGAGAGAAAAGTGGACCCTGGAGTCCGACCTGGGTCTAAGTCCCATGTGACCCTAGCAGATCACCATGGAAAATCACCGCAGACAACAACAAACATCCTAAGGTTAACCTTCACTATTCACACTCACACCTGCTTGAATTTACAGAGCACTTACAATGCCAGGTGCTACTGTAAATGTTTCGCATATATTATTTAATTCTATTTAAAAACAGAAACAAAACACCTAGGAGGGAGGCATTAATACTAAAAATTGTTGCACACGGTTAGATACTGAATCTGAAGGTCAGAGATGTGGCCTTATAGCAACAAAGCTGGGCTATCAACACAGGCAGGCTGAAGCCTCACGTCCCACCTCCCACCCGCCAGTCGCAGGGAATCACCAACAGCAATATCGCTTACAGACTCTTCTTCTATGTACATCAGTTCTCGCTGAAGTTTTTAAAACTTCAGAGTTTCCAAAAGCCTCAATGGAAACGTATAAACATGCAATTAGACCATGAGTTTCTTTGGTTTTGTTTTTAAAGTTGGAATCCACCATTACCAACAAGTTAGCTCAGGTTTTCTGGAAGTTCTCATTGGCAGTTATGTAGACAAAAACATTTCAGGCTTTTTTTTTTTAAGGGGAAGATGAATCATTGCTTAATAAATGCAGTTTAGTGGAGTTGATCTTTCTGAACACTGGCCTATGGAGAGAGAATAAAAGGGTTCTTGGCATTGAGAAGGCTGGGAACTGCTCCTTACATGTTTATGCATGTTGCTCAATCCCTCAGCCTTCACAACTGTGTTTAAATGACACCATTCTTTCCTGCATCGTTTAAGATGCTTCACTTTGCATATGCAATCCACTCAACTCACCAAAAATGATCACATTCCTAACCCTTGGGCAGGAATCGGGGTGCAAGCACTGATTTCGGGGGAGGGGGAAAACAACCCTTTTACAAAATCTTAAGATGTAACCTGGGAGTTAGTCTTCTCCAACGGAAAAAATAAAAAGACTCAATGCTGAATGATTAAAAACAAAACACCTGCACCTAGGTGTGCATGAGGCAGTAAAAGTAAGCACACTGCGAGTTGGTGGAGGAAGGATGCCAGCAGTCAGTCGGTGGCCTGTATTTGGAGAAAAGGGTCCGCTCTTTTGGGTGAGACAGTTCTTACACATGTTGGGAACCAACCTAGTCCTCCCCTGACAGCCATGGGAAAGCACGGGTTCCCGAGAATTTGGTGCGGCTAAAACCGCACAGGACCCGGGTGCGCTAGGCCTGCGCCCCGGTGGCCAGGGCCTGCTCTGTGGCCTTGTCCCAGCCAGCTCTGCAGCGGTGGCACCGGGGGGCTGGAGCCTCGCCGCCCGCAGCGCCCCTGAGGCCTGTGGGTTCTCTCGAGGTCTGGCCGCCCTCCGGCCT